AATAAGTAAAATAAAAAGATGATGAATTGAATTTACTTTTGATTTTATCATATTGTATGCTTACTTGTTGACCTTATTACTATTGGAGTTTTTGAAAAATCATTTCTCGTGCTAATTTTATTCTGAAATTCTGAATAAAAAGGTAATTAATTTTATAAAAATTATTTGACATATCATTACTATTATAATCTTAATCAAAATGTTAAAAAAATTTAAAAGATAAGAAAATATATATGAAAAAATTAACGTAGATAAAATTATTTTTTAAGAAGAACAAAGTATATTATTTAAAAAATATATTCATAAAAAGTACTTACATATTTTCACGATCTTGATTAAATTATTGAATAAAACATGAAAATATTTAGCAGATGCATGTCAAAATAATAAATAAATTGAAAAAAAAAAGATCTTTTAAGAATAAAATCACAATAGTAATATACATTTCAAAGAAAAGTTGCAAAATAATAAAAAAAAAATGATGAAGGATACACTATCTATATATAGGAATTTTGAATGACAAATATGAGGCATAGATGACTTTAGAATTACTAACTATTTTTTGAATTTAAAAGTAATATATAATAGATATGTGTATTTTTTAATTTAAAAAATCAAATAATAAAGATAATTATAAAGAAATTTATGAAAATAAAATTATATTTAAAAATTTTAAATTTTAAAAAAATATTTGTAGATTGATTTGTGATTGTAATGTGTATTAGATTGGATGTCTATTTTAGATTTTTTAAATTTTAAAAATAAATATAAACTTTTTATTTGAATTTGAAATATATCCTACATATCATAAAAATAAGTTATCCATATAGACATCTACATCTACATGTTTATCTGGTAACATACCTTGTAATATATATATATATATATATATATATATATATGATTATTAAAAATATATTTTAAGAGATAATATATCAGTACATTTGAAAATTTTAAATTTAAAAATATATATAGATTATTATGAAATTTATTTAGAAATATAATCTATTTAAATTAAATTTAGTTGCCAACAATTTAAAAATTATTTACATAGGATACAGAAAAAGCAAATTTACTGAGTAATTTCTTACATGTCAAAAAAAAAAAAAACTTAAAAAGATAATGTACTATTACATTTGAAAATCTTAAATTTTAAAAATATATTTATAGATTATTAGAAAATTCATTTAATTTAAAATGATAATATATTTAAGTTAAATTTGTTGTTAACAATTTAAAAGTTATAAATGTAAATATCCATGTAAGCAAAATTTTTAAGTAATTTCTTATGTGTCAAATGGCAAAACTATCCACATAAGCATTCATGTAAGTAATATTTATCGGATACTTTTATATTATGTAATATAATATTATATATGATGTAAAAATAGAAAAAACCGATACAGTACTTTGTGTATATTTCATAAAATAAAATTTAAAATAATTAAAAAAAACCTTTATGAAAAAGAAAATCTAGCTTAAGCTAAAAGCTTAATTAAATTAATTCATGCAATTAAAAATAATATTCAATAGATTTGATATTCAAATTTTAACATATTTTTATCTTCAAATTATGATTTATTTTATAAAAAAAAATCTAACTTATAGCTGACTCAAGTGTTTACTTATGAAATAAAATTAAAACTTAACTCTTTTTGTTATTAAGATGATAAAATCAAACATCAAATAAAATAAAGTAAGGGTTAAATTTTAGCAAAATTTTAATGTCATGCCAAATGAATTTCACTTTTTTTTTTTCAAAACAAAATGCTGACATGAATGAAATCACATAAGCTTAGGTTGGAGCATGGCATGATGTTTTGGCCCATACGAAAGCCATCATTTTCCATCTTCACTTTCCAAAGGTTCTCAACATGGTAGGTCCTTCTTGTTCTTGTTTTATTGTTTGCCAATTGATCACTGTAAACTTCTTTTCTATGCATATGCCCATCATAACTTTCCTTTTTTGCTGCTTTGTTTTGCCAATCATTACTTTCCTTATAACAAAAATATCTTCCTTAGTAAGAGTGATATTAATTTTGATCAAATTTGATTTAAATTTTTAAAAATTTTATTTAAATTTAAATAAAATTATTTTTTGAAATTGATTTAATTTAAATTGAATTGAATTAAATTTTTTATTATATATTATTTTAATATAATTTTTAATAAATTCAAATAATACAATTGACTTAGCAGTTTCTATCAATTAAAACCTTAAAAAAAAAAAGTCTCCTATCTTGTGTTTTAATTATCAAGAAGTGTCAAAGAGGGGACATTAAGGTCTCGTTCAGAACCTTCCCATCCACTCATCACCTGTACTCAAGAAAAAAAAAAAAAAACTATCATGCAGTTTCGATATGTTCGGGTCGGGCTGCAGCCATTTATCGGCGAACCCTTCCAACAATTTAAATCATAGATTTCCACAAATGGAAATGCGATGCAAATTCGAGATGAGAGGGCTCCTTTTTCCAGTGGGTCTTTTCTTTGTCGCGGGCCCAATTTCCCCATGTCTCATGGTTGATCCATTGGAGAGAGGGTTTCCAAGTTCGAAACTGAGGTGTAAAACCGACCAGACCGAACCGTTGTGCAGGAACATGTGGGTCGTCGCCTGCTTCTGCCCCTAACAGTTAGCAAATCAAAAATTTCCGGTTGTTGTGCCGGCAGCTAGAAGCGACAAAAATTTTTTTTTCAAAATCGATTTAAAATTTAGTATTTGATTCAAAATTTTTTTATTTAAATTAAAGTAAGATATTAAATATATATTAATTTTAAATTGAATTTAAAATCAAAAAGTAAAAAATAAAAAAAATTAATCAAATCTAATTATATATATTTTTAATTTTAAATAAAATAAACTAATAATTTTATATCAAAATTTATTTAAACATATTAAAATAATATATAATTATTAAAAAAATTAAAAATCAATAAATATAATCAAATCAAACCAATAAAATTTGATTTAGTTTAGATTAAATAAATGTTTGAATTTAAATTTAAATTTAAAATTTTATAATATTATATAATATATAAAAAAATTCAAATCAAATCTGATCTAAACCAAATTATTATTGCTATCATTTACAATAAATATGCAAAGATTATTGACTTTGAAACTTCATCAATCTTGTATTATGTACTAATTATTTCATCAATTATTGTTGTATTCCAAAATACAATATTTTAAAGCAAATTTGTCTCTTTGTTTTAAGAGTGATAGAGACATATTCTTATTTAAAAACTCTTATCCAGTTTATTAAAAAAAATAAATGATTGGAGCATTTGTTAACCCTAAATCAACTTTTCCCCATCATGTTCATTAGATTCAAATTAAAAGCTTTTCACCTTTTTCATTTATTTTAATGATCCCAAAAGCTTGAATTTCCAGCACTCAACTCATGTGCATATCTTACATTCATATTTACTTTAGGGTTCATACAAAATGATAAATAAAATAACTTAATTTTAACAAAAAAATTTGATAAGTTAGCATGATGGGTATAAGTGTGAAACTTTTAGGTAGCATATTTAAATGAATTAATTAAAAGGTACATAGTTGTGGAAGAAAAAAATTACTATTTTTTTTACAAAAATAGGTGTAAAATATATTTTATTAACATTCTTTATCACTAATTATTTATACATTCAATAATACCATTCACATTTACTCATAAAATTAGTTCAATTGATAAAGATATGGGTTTTTTTTTATTATTAATCAGAGTTTGATTTATGTGAAAAATGAATTTTTAAAATGATTTGATGAAAGAATTAGATGTATTAAAAAAAGATCATATTTATACAAATTTTAATTTTAAAGGGAAAAAGTTAGATGTATTGAATAATTTATTTTTCAAAAAATAATTGAAGAATATAAACTTTATAAGTTTAATATAAAGGAGAAAATATTGATTTTACTTTGTAATACTAAATTTCATGGGCCACCAGAAACAACCACTAGCAAGAATTTACCAAAAAAAAAAAAAAACATAAAGAACAAAGCAACTTCGACCTTTACATCTTTAGTCATTTGCATGCTTTAGAATATTCTAAGGCTGCTCATAATCTCTGTACTAATACTTGCACTTTTTAATTAGGTTCTCAAAAAAATAATAAAAAAAAACCAGCTCGCCTTCAAAATTTTCAAGATTCAATTTAAAACCTTTTTTTTTTTTTTTTGGTTCAGTAAAATCTAGGAATAAGAGAGGTTACTTAGATTAAAATAAATTATCAACTTATAAAAGATTTATGAATTTTTTTATTTTTTAATTTTTTTTTAAATTTATAAATCATCTATCAATAAAAAATTGTAAGATTCAAATTTAAATATTTTGCAGACTATAAATTATTTTGTCCTTCTAAATTGTTCCAAAATTTGGTAACAGCAAATTCATTTTTTTTTCCAGTGTTCAAATTAAAGATTGGAACTTTGCAATAAAAAAAAAAAATGGAAACTTGGAACAATCCCATGTGCACCGTTACTTGTTGGGGTGAGATCTGAATTGCCTGAGAGTGAGACAACCAAAAAAAAAAAAAATTGAAAGAAAAGAAAAAGAACAAAATTCAAAGCATTCATTTGAATCTAATCAACAGGCTAACAAGAACAATAAAGAGCCAAAAAAAAAAAAAAAACCAATTGCATGGTTAAATGGTTTCATATATATTTTTACACCTCATGACAACTAATCACAATAAATGGAGATTGTGAAAATTAAATGCTATAGATGTCAGCACTACTCTTGACTTATAAGGATTCTTTGGGAAATCCAGGAGAAACTTTGGGATCTGGGTTTCTTGAGTTTTGTTTCCTATTACTGTTAGTTTAGTCTAGTTTGCTCTTAATAGTCTCATGTTTAACTCTGTGGGTTAAGTTCCTTGAGCAGGCTTCAAAGTGATTTTTTTTATTTATTTATTATTGTTGTTCCTGAGTTTATGTTTTGTTTTGTCTGTTTTGTACTTTCATTGTGTCATTTGACTAGTCATTTTCTCTGTCTCTCTCATTTTTTCAGTTCAAGTTTTACATTTTTACTAAACCCCATTTTCTAGGATTTGCAAAAGGTTCCGTCTTTGAAAACCCATAGATTTTTTCTTTTGTTTCTCCTTGATTGGTTACAGTTCAAGTTTACATTTTTACTCATGTTCTAGGATTCACCAAAATTTCCATCTTTGAAAACCCGGAAGTGTTTTTGGATTTGTGATTCTGGGTTTTGCTTGTTTTTGTGACTTCTTGATTGGTTGATTCATGGCTCAGTTAAGGTTCATTGTTTTTTCTTTTGTGCTTTCAATTTGCCGTACTTGTTTTTGTTCTTCTTTTGGAGATCAAAATTTGGATAAAATCACCGAGTTACCTGGACAGCCAAAGAATGTTGAATTTAATCAGTATTCAGGATATGTGACAGTAAATGAACAAGCTGGAAGGGCATTATTTTACTGGTTGATTGAGTCACCAGTAAATCGTAGACCTGAGACAAGACCACTTGTTTTGTGGCTCAATGGAGGACCTGGTTGCTCTTCTGTTGCTTATGGAGCAGCTGAAGAGATTGGTCCTTTTCGCATTATGCCTGATGGAAAGACCCTTTACTTGAATCATTATGCTTGGAATAATTGTAAGTCTTCTTCTATGATATTTCTTCCACTTGCGTCCTGTCTGAATTTCATTTAAGATTGTCTACTTCGAATTGTTGTCAGTGGCAAATATGCTATTCCTTGAATCTCCAGCTGGAGTTGGCTTTTCATACACAAACACGACATCAGATTTATACACAGCCGGTGACAGGAGAACTGGTAACTTATTTGATGAGGTGCTCGGTACATGAATTCTGATGCTTTAGATTCTAAAAGAGTGAATTTTGATATCTTTAGATGTTGTTTGGAATCTGTCTGTTGTAAATTTGCAGCTGAAGATGCATATGCTTTTTTGATTAATTGGCTTGAAAGGTTCCCACAATACAAGCATAGAGATTTCTACATTGCTGGAGAAAGTTATGCAGGTGTTACTTCAATCCCAGTTTTGGCTGTAATATTTTCTTCATGGTTGGAGCCTGGAGGGCTGCAGGTTAAAACTAAAGGACTATGTTTTTGGTAAATTACTTTCAGGTCATTATGTTCCTCAATTGTCTCAAATTGTTTATGAAAGAAATAAAGGGGTTCAGAATCCTGTCATCAATTTCAAGGGATTTTTGGTGAGAAAAGAAAATTTTTTCTTACACAGTTGCAATTTCAATTATTAATGGCAAATGATTTCTGTTTTATTCTGTTATTAATAGGTTGGAAATGCTGTCACTGATGACTACCATGATTTTGTTGGCACATTTGAGTACTGGTGGACTCATGGTTTGATATCTGATTCAACGTATAGAAGTTTGCGAGTTGCCTGTGACTTGGGATCCTCTATGCATCCATCCTTGCAATGCATGAATGCTCTCAAAGTTGCTGAAGTCGAACAAGGAAACATTGATCCATATAGCATCTTCACACAACCCTGCAAGGATACCGCAACTTTAAGACACAACACGAGGGGTCATTATGTAAGTTTTCATCAATCTTTTTTCCCCTATGAACAATAATAATGGGGCTTTTCCAGTGATCTCAATTTTGAATCTTTGCGTCATTCTACCAATGTTTTATCTGTAACCTGGCATAGATTTACATAAACCATATATATTAGAAGCTTATCTTCACATTCAGTCTTGTTTCTTTTCTAGTTTCTGTCACTAGTATAGCTCTGAATCGTGGTTTTAATTGGATGTCTTCCATAATGCTTAATATATATGCAATATTCTGATGATAGCTCGTCCTGTAAAGGGTGAGTCTTGGACTGAAAGAAGCATATATTTCCAGTGTATGATCATATTAATATGCAGTTAAGCTGACTCATTTACATAAAAAGCAGGTTATATATGCTGCATGTGATGTTTATATATAGATAATTTGTGATTCATTATACACATTAAGTAGAATTTGTATCTTTCTGAAAATTGAGAGAACTGTCATACTATGATTGGTTTTCTAGTGGGACTTGGCATTAAATTTGTGGTCTCATCTCAGATACTTAATGCAGTTGTTGAAAGTCATAATACTCTCCTGTTAAAGTTGGTGCACTCAATAAAGAGATAATAAAAGATAAAAAGAGGCACATGTATTCACATTTAACATTTTATGGCCATGGATTGCAGTTATAAGATGATTGGCAGAGGTGATGAGACAACTTCATGTCTTTATTTGGTTGGTTTTACCTTCACAGATTTTTGTTTATCTGTGCTGTTTTCTTCTACTAATTAGGTGCTTTTTGCTTACAAAATTTGGACATTTTGAGTAAACTTCACTAAACTTGAATTCCCAATGTAATGTGTGAAGCTCATTTGTTATACACGTAGTACCTAAAGCATTCAATTTAGATCCAAATAATCAAATGTGAATAGTTGAACCTTGAATTTTCATTAAACTTTTTTTTCCTTGTATGCTAAATTTTCGGTCTTTCCAACTATTATCTGCATTGCTATAATAACTGGTATTAATTTCATTGGGATATGCATTTTTCCTGAGCTGATTCTTTGTCAAGAATGCAATGGCTGGATGAAACTTGCTTTGAATTACTGTATGAATATGATCTCATCTTATACTTAACAAACTGTTTGAGTGGAATTCTTCGTCCTTTTTTTCCTTTCGAATCCCCCAATTGACCTTGTCTTGTTACTTAAATGCAGCCATGGATGTCAAGAGCCTATGATCCATGCACTGAGAGGTATTCTAAGGTCTACTTTAATCGCCTAGAAGTCCAGAAGGCACTTCATGCAAATGTAACCGGTATTTCTTATCCTTGGCAAACATGCAGGTGGGTAATTGTTTTATAGATTTTCGATCATTTCTTTTAGATAATTAGTAGCATTGTTCTCAAAATCTTTGTTTTACAGTGATATCGTTGGAAATTACTGGGCGGATGCTCCTCTCTCTATGCTTCCTATATACAAAGAACTAATTGCTGCTGGTCTGAGGATATGGGTATACAGGTAATTTTTTTTATTTTTTGGTTGTTGTTGTTGCTGTAGTTAGCATTGTGGAATCTATTGTAGCAGTAATTGAGAATTTTGTGACTTGCAAATGTTGAAGAATCTACTTTTGTCTCTTTGCTTTCCTGTGTTTTGTTGTCTGCCACCCCCTCTTTAATCCCATGCTAACATAACTGAATTCAACCAAGTTTCAGTGTAAATTTTATCATTGTTACTCCAAGAGTTAATCATCGATGCTATGGTTAGACTCCTTCATAAATTTTTCATGCTCCTCCAAAGGACTCTTACCACTCTAGGATGTTAGCCAGACCAAAATTCCCCAGCTTTCTTTGTTTGACTAAGTTGGTGGGGCTTGCATTTAAATGAAACCTGTCTTCTGATGCTGTGAGAGTTATGAGCAGGTGAGACCCAAAGTTTCATATTTTTTCCTGGAAATTGTTCAACCTTTCACATGTCGATGTAGGGCAACTTTGCTAAGGGTCCCTGGTCTCAACTCTCATTAAAGTCAATTCTTCGATTTGTTTATTGTACTTGTTTCTGTTTCGACATCTGGTCTGGGTTTTTCTTTGTGATTTGATGCACCTTCGGCCTTCCTTTGGTAGTTTTATTATTTATTTTAACTTTTTTCTTTTATTTCACAATTGAAACTTGTATTTTAGATTTCAATTCTCTATACGCTACCATGGTCATCTGGAGGCCTAAGTATTATGGATGCAAACTTTTAAAATGAACTTGGAAAGTGGAAATAACTTTCTGTTATTCTTCCAGTCTATTCTCCTTGTAACAGGATGACGCAGTTTACTCTTATCCGGTATCTTAATTATTAAGTTAAGTAGTGAAATTTGGTTGGGAAAAATGTGTGGAATTTTTCTAAAATAATTGATTATTGAGAAAAATACTGTGTTCTAGCATGAAGTGCTTCTGGTCCAGACAAGTTCACTATTAGTAGAACTGCAGGAACAGTATAATATGTTTGAGAGTCAGTTAGCCTATGTAAAATGGTAGACGATAGCGGGAAATCTGTCGTGAATCCAAGAAAAGGATGATTGCAGGATTATAAATGGGAATATGAAAATTAGGATTCATTTTAGCTGAGTTCCCTGTGGTGATGGCTTGAACAGCTTACATCTCCATCTAGAATAAGAGGCTGGTATTATTTTTCTACATGGGATTTTATGGCACTGTCTTAATGCTTTTCATATTTTTTGGCAAAATGCATATGAACGTGACATCTGACTGAACCCTCTCTCCAGTGGAGACACTGATGCAGTTGTTCCTGTGACCGCAACTCGATACTCCATTGATGCCTTGAAGCTAGCAACTATTACCAATTGGTACCCTTGGTATGACAATGGGAAGGTGAGTACTGATAAACCGAGACATTGTTTGAAAATTGTTGCTACTAAAATCGATTACTTAACTTTTTGATGCCATTATATCATCAAAGACAGTCATTGAATGTTATTCTGCTGAGCTCAAAATCATGAAAAATGAGGTTCTATTATCATCAATATTATCCTCAAATAACATGACAGTACCATACCGGTTTCTGTTATTAGTGAGTTGGTCTATTTATTCCTATGCCACAATCAATACTCATCTGATCGGATTTCTTATTTCCTGAATCCAGGTTGGCGGGTGGAGCCAAGCATACAAAGGGCTGACATTTGTGACAGTGACTGGAGCAGGCCATGAGGTTCCACTCCATCGCCCCCGTCAAGCTTTCATTCTTTTCAGATCATTTTTGGAGAACAAGCCAATGCCAAGTTAAAAGTCCTGTTAGTGCTACTATTCATTTCCCTGCCAAAAAAAAAAAGTTATAGAATTGTTCATATACCGGGCCACAAAAAGAATTCATAAAAAAAGAAAGCATTCTTCTCGAGTGCCCTTCCATTCTTGCCTACTCAGTTCCTTTTCCTTGATGCAGAGAGATTTGGTGTATGAAGTAGAATACAACTCTGCCAAATTGTGGAATATTTGTATGAAATCTATTCTTTATAGGACTTCAATTCAGTTCCGATTGCCTTGCATGGTAGAACTGTAATTTTTTGGAATGATAGTATAGTTAATAAAAGGGTTCAAGCTCTTATAATTCTTTTATCATTGTCTTTATTACCAAAATCTTGGCAGATATCATCGGATGCTACTTCCTATACTTGTTCATGGATAAGGTGGCTCGAAAGGCTCATGGGTTTGGCCCAACTAAAATAAAATCTTGGACAATATTTTTTGAATTTAAGCTTGACTCGAAATATTATGAATAGTAATGAAATTAAACAAACTTTAATAGACGAGTTAAGTCGAATCTTAAGTAAGCTATTAGAGATTCAATCTAGCTTGATTCAATCCATTGACAACTCTTTTCCTACCCATTTGATCCCCTTTCTAGGTAGTTTTGTTGTTGACTGAACAAACAAAACCAAATCATTGATGGTTAATGTCTTGATGAGACATTAAATAAAGATTTGGTTGGGAAGTTGATCTTCATAAGGCTTTCAGTTCAAACTACCCTTCCCCAAACTTTGAGAATCCAATACTTGTTTTAGGTCAATCAAACAGGGTTTCTTTTTCTTGGATGCCTTTTGTCTTCTAATTGAAAGTCAATTAGTTTGTTAGTTTAGGAAAATCTGTTTTCAAGAGGTAACATTTAATAATTTTTTTTTATCTCAAATTGTAATATCTTTTGTAAAAAAAAATTATATATCAGTGTGAAGGTTTTAAAAAGAAATAAAGAGTTGACATATGCCTTAATAAAGTATATTTATGAAAATTAATAAACTTTTATAGTAATTAAATGGATGCATGTCATCATTTTATGTCAACAAATCATTTGAAAAATGACTTAAAAGTTTTAAAATAAATGTCACGTAGAAGTAGTTTACAAAATAGTGTTCACACAAACGAAACTCAATCTATCTTTTATTTATTGGCCAAATCTAGTTTGTATTTTAAAAAGTTAAGACTTAATTGAAGATTTAGGTGAAATTCAAGAAGTTTCACTTAAAAAAAAATGAATGAATTAAAATTAAATTTAAAAAATTAAAATCAATAAATTCATAAAATTCATAAATAGATTAATAACATATAAATAAATAATTAAAAATCATATGTTTATGTAAATTTTAATAGATAATTGTTGAAGATTTTTTTTATCATAATTTTTAATTAAAATATGAATTTAAGTATTAAAACTTATTTAAATTATTTATTTTTAATTTCATTTATCATTTAAATTTTGAATGAATCGACGTGATATTATTATTGACATTTGGAGATTTCGAATTCGAAATAATTTATATGTATAATATATTTTTCAGTTAATTAAATATAACGATAAAGAGTTCAAAAATAGATTAAAAATTTAAAAAATCATAATTGTATTAAAAATTAGATTTAATAGTAAGTACATATGCGTCATATTAAAAAAAAAAAATCAAATTCTCAAAATAAAAATAAAAAAAATTTGTAAAAGAAATTGATTTCGTAAGCAACAAGTACCCAAAAATATGAGGCGTCTGATAAGGCGACAGAGCGGATCCCTATCGTCCGATCCAAGAAAACTGTACTTTATTGAAAAAAAAAAGAAAAAAAAATCATGGGGGTCAAACAGCAATAAATCCGACGGTGGTTTTATGAATTGTTTGGACGGAAACGATTAAGCCCACATGGACCCAGTTGGAATTAGCGGCTTATCAGAAACTGCACGTCGTTCATCGATGCCATCTATGAAAAGTCAAACAACCATTGGTCAAACTAACGAGCGGCAGATCTTGAATCTTGATCCAGCTCAGTTAGATCTTATTGCCTTTGCAATTTTTACACGCAATTAACTTCTTTTTTATTTTTTTTAATAAACATGAATTACTTTATGAAATTAAATATGATTTAAATGATTTTCACATCACATCAAAATAATTTATGTATTTATATAACAATATTTAATCTCGAGATATTTTAATCCTAAACTATAAAATTTAATGTGACATAATTTTTAAACTTTTAATTTAGTGGTTAAACGTGCTTGAAAAAATATCGAGAGTTTAATTTCGAATAAATCTATCTCTTTTTTTTTATTTGTATTAAAATTTTATTTTTTTATGTAAAAAAAACATGTTACGTAGCAACAAATAATAAATTTTTTTTTTGTGAAAATCATATAATTTTATAAAACACAACAAATATATATTTAAATATTTTTTAAAATTTTCTTAATTTAATATTGAAGAACATTTATTTTTCTTATTTTACCTTGCACTAGAAGCAAAAGTCATTTTCTATAGTATTATTTTACAAATTTTATCTATTTTTATTTGTATTGGTCCCCATTGTCTATCATCCTCCAATAGTTACTAAAAACTTTGGGTTTTGTTATTGCGAGGAGCATTAAAAAAAATAAAATCATAAATATATTAATATAAAAATATATTTTTGAGATCGAACTTATGTAAAATATAAAAATATCTTTATTCATTTTATATAAAAAAAAAAAAACCCATATTGTTAGTATCCAATATGTTCAATTGCTTTCAATTGTTGTACGAACAAACCATAACCAAAAACCATCAAAGTGGTAGAAATCATTGATGTTTTGGGTGTTGAAATGGTTCAACAAAATATTAAAGACTAAGGAGAAATCGTGTGCGGTTGAACAAAAGGAAAAAAAAAAAAACTATATTTTTTGGCCTAAATGGAAGTCAAGATACCAATATTAATGGACTTTTTGGATGGTGATCCAATCAATGCATTAAAAAAAATTCTTCCATTATAAACTTCCCAAGCACATTTAAACAACTAATTTTGATGTTTGATCCCCAAAACATGATTTAGACAAAAAAAAAAAAAATTCCAACTAGTTTAATTGAAGTCAATGAAAACAAGTTGAACAAACCAATTGAAACACTTGATTTAAGAGTCCAAACCCCAAAGTCTTAGACCTCACATTTCCAAAGAACATAGCTTTTGCATTTCTGTTCTCAATGATGAGAGATCATTACATTAAGAATTCTTCTTTCTCTTTGCTCTATGTTTTGTTCATTGGAAGCCTTCTTCTTCTTTGCAAAGTATCTTTGGCTGCGGCAGCCGCCGGTAACCGGAAAGAGCAGGAGAGAGATAGGATCATCAAGCTACCAGGGCAGCCACCCAAAGTGAACTTCTCTCAATACTCAGGCTACATTACTGTTGATCCAAAGGCGGGCCGGGCACTGTTTTATTGGTTGATCCAGGTCCCTGTTAAGAGTCAGCCTGCATCAAAGCCATTGGTTTTGTGGCTCAATGGTGGGCCTGGCTGTTCATCTGTGGCTTATGGGGCCTCCGAGGAAGTGGGTCCCTTTCGAGTACGATCAAATGGGAAAACTCTACATTTGAATCCATACGCTTGGAATCGAGGTAAAGCATATATAGCACTACATTATTTTCAAGTAAAAAAATAATTATATTAAATTTTACATTCAAATCTCATTATACATAAATTTTAAAGGCTTTACTTTAATATAAATATTTTTAGAGTCATGCAACGTCCAGACAATGTTAATTTTAATGACAATTTTTTTTTTTTTTGCAGAGGCTAATTTGCTATTCCTTGACTCACCGGCCGGCGTCGGATTTTCTTATTCAAATACATCGTCCGATATATACACGGTTGGTGACAAGAGGACAGGTACATATGTATAAATGTTAAAGACAAGGCATGCAAGAGAGTCACGCAAAAGCACATAATTGTCAAGAATTAGTTAACCTAACCCTAACTAAGTCTATAATTCTACATGGAAATGCAGCTGCAGATGCTTACACATTTCTCATCAAATGGTTGGAGAGGTTCCCCAATTACAAGCACAGGCCTTTCTATATTGCTGGAGAAAGCTATGCAGGTTATTCTAATTTCATCACCAACCCCATAATTAATTTGGATTAATTATATTAATCTTTGCATTAATTATCTAGTAAATTAATTTCTTTTTCCAAAATAGCCTAACTCTTTGATCCTGTCAATTTTCAGGTCATTACATTCCTGAGCTATCTCAACTTATCGTCCGCCGCAACAAAGGAGTCAAGCATCCCATCCTTAACTTCAAAGGTTTTTTGGTCAGTCAAAATTCATGGCTAGCAACTTAAACTTACCCTTTAATTACATCAATAGTTTAATGATATCGTTCATCTTTAATACACTATCGTTATAATTTTTAATTCTACGAACGAGATTAAAAAATTCATGTATATCACAAAAAAGTATGTGTTACTCTATAAGTTTTGCTTGTGAAGTTTATAAAGACTATTATATTAAGAATTAACGTGAACGAGATGATTTTGATTATAGATTTAACTACTTCTTTTTTTTTTTTTATGTTTTTAGAACATGATTTTAGATATATTTTTGATTTAATTATGAATTTGGAGCAGTTGGGAAATCCTCTACTGGATGATTATTATGACAACATGGGGTCATACGAGTACTGGTGGAACCATGGTTTGATATCAGATTCTACATACGATGACCTAAAAAAGTCATGTTCAAATGACACATTCTTATTCCCAAAAGATGGATGTAACAGAGCTCTAAGTAGTGCTTATGAGGAATTTGGAGACATCAATCCTTACAACATCTATGGCCCTCCATGCAATGGAACTGCCACTCTTAAGCGTAATTTAGGTCAACTGCCATTGGTAAGCTCTTCTTCTATTCTAACTTCCATCCTTTTTGTTTTCGTGTTATGAATTTTAAAACCACTTTTCATGTCCAGTGTATGTCCATGTGAACGATGTTCACATGGACCACATAAACATGCATTCATGTTTGTAAATCAATAATCAAAGTATATTGATTAACAAAATCCATCATATTGAAAGTAAGCTTCGCGGTTTTTGCATAGAGCCCTCACCTATGGGCTGATTTGATTGTTTATAAAAGCCTTTCTTTTTTGGATTAGATTCCAAGAAAAGTGTTTTTGCTGAGTTTCATATCGTTTTTGTATTAAAATATAAAACTCGCAATTCTAGTTCCAACTTTTTCATTAAACCTTTTTTAGTTTAACTTTTTTACACGCTTTCATTGCTTCGAGATTTGAGACTATATTAATTTATTAATGATGATAGATCATGGCAAGGTCTGGAATTTGGACCAATATAATAATCATCTCCTAGAATTTGAGTCTTTGAATGGATCGAGTTATCTTGTTTAATCCGTGGGTCTAATTTGATTTAGATTGGATTTTAATTGAATAGAAATTTTTGAGATCAAACCCAATCTTGGATAGATAATTTAAAAAATTAATTGAATTTGACTCAATTGATGAATAATTTTAATTCTAGATTGAATTTGGAAGATTTCTTTTTAAGAACAAGTCATGAATTATGGACATTCAATCTTTAATTGTTACGACATTTACTAGTGTTATTATAGCTAAGATTTGCGATATGTAAGCTGAACATAAACATTTATTTAGGAAGAGGATTAGACTCAGACAAAATTTGAGATACCTTTGACTGAAACATAGATATATTTGTTAACATGATCAAAGCCTGTGTATATGTTAATCAGCCATGGAGATACAGAGGAAACGATCAATGTGTAGTAATGTATACGAAAAGATATATGAACAATCGACGGGTGCAGAAGGCTCTTCATGCAAATGTTACTCACCTTCGTTATCCTTGGGCTACTTGCAGGTTTGATCCACAAATTTTTTTTCCCTTTTCCTGTCAATTTCTACACTGCGATTAATGAAATTCCATTTCACTAAATTAAGTGTATGTATACATATGTACCGTCGATTTTTCAGAAGGCTAAGATGAGTTTTCTTTGGCATATATATTTGCAGCTCTGCTATTAGGAGAAACTGGACTGATTCTCCAAAATCCATGCTTCCTATAATCAAAAGGCTTATTGCATCTGGCATTAGAATTTGGATTTTCAGGTAATTTTCCTTCTTATTCAACAATTCTGTATTTAGTTTAATGATAAGTACACGTATGTCTTTCCTTTTTGAAAAAATGATTCGATTTTCTCTCTTTTAAAATTGTAAATTGAATGAATCTAAAATTTAGTTTAGTTAGTTTATGCAATTATTTTTAAAAGGTGACATTCAACATGTTTAAAATTTGGTTTTTTTTTTTTTTAACTCATAAACTGTTGTCTCCTATGTAAAAAAAAAAAAAAAATTGTAAATTGAAGTTTTTGTTTGTAATTTTCTTACAGAAATAAGCCTAATTTGAGTTTAGTAAAACGAAAATCAAAAGCTGAAGGCTAATTACAGAATTTGTTTTTTTTTTTTTTAACAGTGGAGATACAGATGCTGTTTTGCCTTTGACTGCAACCAGATATTCCATTAAAGCACTGAAGCTCCAAACCAACATCAGCTGGTATGCTTGGATAGATGATGAAGCAGAGGTTGGTGGATGGACAGAAGTCTACAATGGTTTGACCTATGTGACAGTGAGGGGTGCGGGCCATGAAGTCCCTTTGACACAGCCTCAACGTGCCTTGGTTTTGTTTAGGTACTTCTTGATGAATTTGCCCTTACCAGGATCTCTTTTCGATTAGGAATTAGGGTTAAATTTGTTGTTAACGATCAAGCTGATCATCACAGATTAATTGTTTTTATATAGCTACCATTAACAGAAAATTACAGCAAAAAAAAGAAAAAAAGCAATTCAGGGTTATTTATACATAGTGATTTCTTGTCTTACAATTTAAAATCTTTACTTTTCAATTTGTTGTGTTATAAAGTAACAGATAAATTAAATAAAATTAATTAGATTAATGTATTTATAATTTCATACTTGCTTCTTGTAATCTTAATTTTTTTATCGTTTTAAGTTCATGAAATTTTTAATTATTGTATATATTGTCAATGAAAATTTTAAATTACATAAGCAAAATTGAAGGATTATTATATATTTTATCAAAATATATTAAAAAATAATAAAACTTTATTGTAATTAGATGAATATGTGACAATATTTTAATTATGATTTATAGAATTTAGAAACTTCATTAGTGATTTATAAAATAATAATCCCCTAATTTTTTCTCCTAATGGACTATTGATGTCGTAAGCAATGAGCAAAGAAAAAGCAAAGAATCATTCTAGTGATTGAAAATTGCTAATTATTTTCATTGTGATCAACAAGTAGAAAAGAATATCGAATGATAAGAAATGATAAGAAACTTTGGTGGAATCTTTTTCTAATATTTAAGTGTCAATGGAGGAGAATGGATATATATATATATATATATATATATATATATAATATTCTTTCTCCACCTAAGATAAAACACAATTATGGGTTTTGATCATGCTTTGAAAATGAGTCTATTCATCAAATATATAGCAATTTCTTATTCAAAGCATAATTTGTAATTTACCAAAATGCATGTTTTTTTTTTTTTTTCATTATTTTAGTAAATAATTATTTCTAGCATTATCCAGACATTATTTTAATGGGAAAGAAGAATCTTTGAAGCTTTTGATTTTAATTAATTAATTAATGTTCAATTCACGTCCTGTATTGTGAACTTGGTCAAGCTTTATACAAAAAAAAATCACATGATAATTGATATTATTTGCATTAAAATATTTGTGAACATAGACTAAATTACCTCAATAATTATAATTATAATTTCAACATATAATTTCATTAAAAATAAGAAAAAATTGTAGCTGTTTAACCTGTTACTACTGATCTATTATTCCTTGCTTGCCTTGCATTATGAATTGATGCTTCTGGCGAAACCAGTTGTTTTTTGTCAATTGGATTTTGGTGATGCCTTTGGAATCTCATTCTGAAACCCTGTAGTATTACTGGGGACTAGAAGAGAGGATTTCAGAATCAACTTTTCAATATGCTTTTTGGAGATGAACCATCTGATCGAGTCTTGATGAGTTAATTCAAGGGACAATATACCCCATAAAGTCATAGATCGATTCCAAGAATTTAAATTTATGAGATAAGATCAAAGGTCGATCTTGTCAACTTGACCCTATCTTGCTATATATGATATTTAGCCCATTTTCTTGATAGTTGCAACCATTTTCTTTTGCTGCATGACATTATAATTATTAATTTGAGATGAATAATTTCTGCTAATTATGTATGCATGAGGTCAATTAAGAAATTTAACATTATATTACAAAATTTTAAACAAAATTTTTATGCATTTGTGGCTTATTGTTTCATTTGTTTTTGGGTTATGATTGAGTTTTTTTTTTTTTTTGGTTGAATAAAGTTTAAGAGCAGAAAAAATATCTCATTTCTAAGATCAGGACAAGCTGTTAACTCAAAAAAAATTTATTAATCTTCTGAAATTTTGTGAACTTATACATCATTTACTGATAACGGACTGCGAGAATTCGAACTTGATACTCTCAATCCTGAAATCAACTTTTTTATTTGTAGGCTGAAGTATGAATGAGATAGTTGCAAATTGTATAGAATAATTAATTTAGCTTGTGGTTTTGGGCTCCTTGTCCAAATATATACCCCCCTTTTCAGCATAGTGGAAGGGCATTCTCTAGACAGAACTGTAAAGAATAAATGAAGTTCCTTAGTCACTAAGAAGTGTAGATTAGTCATTTCAGCACACATCAAAATAAATAAAGTTTGTGATCAAACCCACAGAGAGAAAAGCAAATATAGAAGATCAGCAAAGAGGATAAACATTTTGAATTCTTGAAGGCTTTTTAGGAACTTGAAAAAAAAAAAGGAGAAGCAAAGCAACTAGCGCATGTCCCAATTAAACAAAAGAGAAAAAGGTAGAAGAAGACACCATATAACAAGAAAAGAAGCAAAACCAAAAAGAAAGATAAAGATACAAATAAGTAGTAGAGAAGAAGAGAGCACTTCAAGTGGTGCAAAAGAAAAAAAATTCTCCCAAAAAGAAAAATTCAGTGAGATACAAAGAAGATGTATAGGTTTAGCAACACTGTGATAGGTTTCTTGAACCTGTTCACACTGTTAGCATCGATACCGATCATCGGAGCAGGTTTATGGATGGCAAAGAGTAGTACAACCTGTGAAAATTTCCTTCAAACCCCATTACTTGTATTAGGTTTTGTGATATTGATAATTTCATTGGCAGGTTTCATTGGAGCTTGTTTTCATGTGGTTTGGGCACTTTGGGTTTATTTGCTTGTCATGTTGTTTATTATTGCAACTTTGATGGGATTGACCATATTTGGGATTGTGGTTACAAGCCAAGGTGGTGGAGAGCAAATCCCTGGTAGGGTTTATAGGGAGTATAGGTTGGAAGATTATTCGCCTTGGTTGAGAAACAGGATCAAGGAGCCTCAGTATTGGAATACTATCAGGGGTTGCTTGTTGAATTCCAGGACTTGTGCCAAAATTGCCTTTTGGACTCCTCTTGATTATCTTAACAATGACATGACCCCAATCCAGGTAAGATTTTCATTTTTTTTTTTTTGTGAATTTTGATACTTTTAACAAAACAATTTTCCTTTTGGTTTGTGGTATATATGGTATATAGTTCTTCTGATTTTGTTTTTTGGTTTTTTTTTTTTTTTGGGTTTTTGAATAATATAAAACTTAATATTATTATTGAAATAAATTGTTTTTGAATGCCTTTAGTCTGGTTGCTGTAAGCCACCGACATCATGCAGTTACAACGTGGTGACAATGGTAGCTCAAAACCCAGATTGCTACAGATGGAACAATGCTCCAACCATGCTTTGCTATGAGTGTGATTCATGCAAAGCAGGGGTGCTTGAATCTGTGAGAAGGGACTGGCATAAACTCTCAGTTCTAAACATCGTCGTGCTTCTGCTGTTGATTGGGATTTTTTCAATTGGTTGCTGTGCTTTCCAAAACACTAAGAGGGCTGAAACTGATTACCCTTATGGCCAAAACAGGATGTCCAAAGTTAGACCAAGATGGGATTACTATTGGTAAGTAATCAATCGTTATAAAAAAAAAAAAAAAACCCAAATTTTCATTGCTATTCTTTATTATTATTATTATTATTTATTTTTGAAAGTAAATTAGAGAAAAGAAAAGTGTTTTACTGATCACAAGTCAATTAAAAGTAGAAAAAATTAGACATAAGACAAATCAAATTTCTTGTGGAAAAAAAGTCCAAAAATTTAGGAATGTTTTGTCCATACCATATAATTTTTTTTTTCATGAATTGGGTCCAAAATTTAATTTGATGGATTTAATCTATCATATTTTTCTTTTCTTATTATAAACAATTCTGTTTTTGGGCCTAATAGAACTTAACATGATTATGGGTCCATTTCATTCTAAAAAATGAAGGGCCCAGTTTAAAGTAGGTCCATAAATAAATGATCAATGGTAAAGCTTAATTCTTCTATTTTTTTCTTTGGCAGGTGGAGATGGTGGCATGACAGAAAACAACAGCTTTATTAACTATTTTTTTTTTCCTTTTTTGCTATCTTCCCTAAAACTTTATTGGTCAATGTTCCAATGGGTTCTATAAAGAGCGACAATGCAGTTGTTTCTCTGTGTACGGCATTGCAACTTTTTTTTTTTTAACAGAGTTTATGGTTGCTGTTTTTTTCTTCTTCATGGCTTCACTTTAACTTTTTTTTTTTTTCTTTAGAATGGCTTATTTTATGTTTTTTATATTTAAAATTGTAAAAGTAAAATTCGATAATTGAAACCAAAAATTTAATATTGATAGTGTTTTTAAAAGATTAATAAACTATTTTTTGTTATATTTATTTTTAATTATTTTTAATATATCTTATAAGCATATATCATCTATTTTAACCAGATGCCTCTTTCTAACCTTCTAGTAAGAGTTGAAAACCTTATTAATCGTGATATGAAAATTTTAATTGTTAATATTATGAATAATTTTTAAATTATAATATAATATTAAATTTGATATTTAAATTGAAAAATTTTTTTAGATGATACTTAAATTATGAATCTATTAATTAAGATAATATTTATTTATATCATGATTAGCTTCAAATGAATAAATAATTCTCTAAATATTAAATTAATTAATAAATTTATAATTTAAATATCATATTAAATATTTTATTATCATTTGTAACATTAATCCTATTATTATTCATAGTATTGTTTTTTCACTTTATACTACCTTTTGACATTAATGCAACTTATAATGCATAAAGTGGGTTCATGACTAGACAATATGTACCCCATTACCTGGTGGGTACATAAGCTTAGTTGTATTTTTTGTTCTTATCAAAGATTCTTCGGGTGGGGTTAAGGATTGGCTTTTTTTTTTTTTTTTTTTTTTTTTTAAATAAAGCTAATATATACATTCATTTACGATTTTACTTTTTTTTTTCAAGGTAAGTGTTTTTCTTTCTTTCATTTTTTCTTGAATTTTTAGGACTTCATTTATTAATTTAATATCTACCTACATATTTTTTTTTGTCAAAAATGTCTGCAATTTGGATCAATCACTTGGGCTTTCCTCAAATTAAAAGAACAAATTAAGAAATTAGGAGGCAGGTAACAGTAATTGTTAGGTCAAATTGATTGAAAATGACAAAATTTATTGGTGTTGGGATGTTCCCATGCATTTTCTTAAAGGGGAATATGACTCCCAAATCCCAATATGTTATCATTTTTTTATATTTAAATTATTAAGAATTAAATTTTAATCACCGAAATTAAAAATTTAATATTTATACATAATTTCATAACAATTTCATCCACATGATCTTTTAACATTTTTACTACTATGATTGGAATGCGATAAAATAAGAAGAAAGACAACAACAATTAAACAAAAAGATTCCTATTTTTTTAAAAAATAGAAAATATTAGAGAATCAGCAAGTGTGCATGTGTGATTTTCATATGGTTGTATACTAGAAAAAGTAAAAGGAATGGATCAAGATTTAGGGTCTTCTCTAAATTTGTTTTTCAGTTCTTGTTTAGCTGCTTGGGACCATTTTTAATTATGTTGTTTGTTTGGCAGCGAAGAAAAGGATAGGAAAATTAATGCAAAACGATAGGCACATTTTTAACCGAAAGTTCGGAGGAAAATGAAACATTAATCATATCAGTTCATTCTTGAATATCTATACTTAATCATTTTTATCTTGAAATTTCTCCATTTTTCTTGAAAAAGAAATTAAATGTCAGAATAATTGACGCTTTTGTTAAGGCAGTGAGTGCGGTCCTAACCCAACGGCTGGTCCCTCCAATGATTCAATCAATAGCAAGCAAGCCCTAGTTTAAACACTTGGTGGGTAAAATTAAAAAAACGTAGTCAGAAATTAATTAAAACAAAAAAAAATGTAATAATTTCTGCAGTTGGTGGAACAAATTCTGAAAGCTTAAGGGAGGTTCAAGTGTCACGAAAATAAGGATGAGTCATAAATTTTATATCGAATATAAAATGAGAATCATTAGGGTATAAAAAAATTCACATTATTTTTTTTTGTGAGATATTTTTTGTAGCATAAAATTATAAGGTTAGGAGGTTAAAGCGGATAATATCTTATAAGGGTGTGAACCGTGATAGAAAGGTTGATCTGAGACCTCGGATGAGTGGATGCTCAGGTCTCGAAGTCGCGCGAATTCGGAGCTTAAGTCTCGATCCGTGATAAGTGGTATTAGAGTCAACCCTAACCCCGTTTGATTCACGCCAAGCACCTCAATGGAGGTAAATAAGGTGATCAACTTCCGTGAAAAAGGAGTCACGAGGTTGGGTGGAGGAAAATGTCATGAACCTAAAGGAAGATGGGTGGGGAGAACGTCACAGACTTAAGGAATAGTCTTGAATCCTACATCAAACATAATAAGAGAGTCACTGAGATATAAAAGGGTTCACATCACCTCTTTTTTGTGAGGTGTTAAAGTTAGAGGATCAGAGTAGATAATACCTCATAAGGATATGAACCGTGGTAGGAAAGACTGATTTGAGACATCAGATGAGTGGATATTCGAATCTCGAAATCGCGTAAATTTAAAACTTAAGTCTCGACCTGTGATACAAAATTATCATGAATAGGTCAACATTAAAACCCTTTAAAACTCCACATTTATTCATACTCGAATCATTCCATGGACACTTAAAATTTTTTTTTTTATATTTAAAATTGTTAAGAATTAAATTTTAAATTTAATAATTAATTTAAAACCTAACTTGATTAAAAAAAAATTAACAACCTAAATTCACATCCAAATATCCATCTACTTATATATGGCTACATATGTTTTCCAAATAAATGATATTTTAACATTGATATGGTATTTCAAAGCTTAAGAAAAAGCTTGATTTGTTGGTCTGAGAATTTATGAGAGAAAGTCTTATCTACTTTCGTGTTGACCAAAAAAGAAATCGTTGGTTACAATCTTCAAATTTATTTGACTTTAAACTTTATATTAATTAAATGAATGAGGAAAATGTCGTAATGTTATGCAATTAATTTGATATCGTTTCAAGCAAATTAAATTATATATTAATCTTATACCAATATGGTGTCCATTATTCTGTTCATATTAACACAAAAAATAAAGGTCAAGTCTTTTATTTTATATAACATTGTAATTTATAAATGAAATTTTGAATTGTCAAAAAATTATCTCTTTTTCTTAGGAGTTGGCATGACGTCTTTTTCAATATAAAAGAGGCTCTAATTTAAAAATTAAAAAAGTGGTTGCAACTATTGAAAATTTAATTTCAAACCTATTTAATATCATTTATTAAGGATAATTGTAGGAATAAATAAAGTTAAACATTGACTTCATATTCGCATGATATTTTCATCTATGAATTAATACGTAAAAATAAATACTAATAAAAAAATTTATTTCCTCTACACCGGCAATAAAAATTTTAAATTTACAAATAAAATAATATTAAAATTATTGACATGTTATCATTTATTAATTAATTTATTAAAATTTATAAATAATCCTATCAATACTAGGGTTGACAATGAATCAGGTTGGAGTAGCTTTTTCTTCGTCCTAAATTCAATCTGATTTTATAATCATAAAATCTGAATTCGATTCAAAATAATATTTTTTTTAATTTTTTAATACTTGAACTCGATCTAACATGATATTATATAAATCGTACTCAACTCGATCCGACTTGACATTAATAAAATATTATTTTTAAAATATAAAATATTATTTTTAAAAATATAAAAATATAAAAATAAATAATTAAAAAATAATTTTTAATATAATATCAGTTAGATCTGATCGGATTTGTCTAAAACTCAAATTCGATCTGATTTCAATATTTTTTTAATAATATTCGGCTCGACTCAAAATTTGATTTTTTTTTTATAAATTGACCTTATGAAATGAATCGAGTTAAAATCCATCATATTCAAATTGAATTGCTAACTCTATTATAAAATCTAAAAGTTTAACCGTCAAAAGAAAATTTTTCAAGAATAAAATTTAAATTAGTATTGCACGTAGTTCTAAGACAGGTTTAAGTTTCTATCTAAGGGCCACTTTCTATACTTAATTCAATTTGAAATGATCAAAATAAGACTTTACTTGTTTTTGGGTCCTTAGCACAACCACATGAAAATGAGCCGCCTGATCAGTTGAACGTTTCTCTTTGACTCCACCTGCTTGAAAATAGCTTTTTGGCCCTTAAATTTTGTAGAGTAAAATACAAAAAGTCTTTAAGTTAGGAATTAATCAGATTATAAAATATCAAATGTGACGGCACTTTCTATCCTGAAAATTGAAAATTATATATTTGGAAATGTGATAAAGCGACTGTCGTTTTCAATTTCTAGTCAGATTGAACGTGTACGATCATAAAAATATAAATATAAAACATGTATGTCTTTTTCTTTGCTTTCTCTTCTACTTTGAAATAATTTTGCAACATTTTAAAAATTAATCCATAACCTGCTCCAATAATTATATAAGTGAACGAGTCTACACGGTACATAAAAGAAAATCCCAAAAACATTTATTTTTCTAGAAGTTTTTGTTAAACAAATGAAGGAATTAGGATTGGAATTGCTAAATTAATTAGTGATTAATCCTTGATTAGAGGAAGAAAATTCCATAAAAAAACAAACAATATGTACTTATGTACTTATGCACGTATGCAGAGTGATTTAAATATAAATATATGTATATGAAAGAGACTTAAGTATTGGGGAATAATTTTTAATTGTCATCAGGTTCTTTTGAAATTCAAGGATTGGAGTATTTAAACCAAATAATGTTGATTTTAATCACTAAAGAAATTGATTCCCACAAATATTTTATGGGTATTATTTAAAGACCAAATATTCAAAGCACCGATTACCTTCACCCATTCACTAGACGACTGTTTTTCAAAGTAAAAACCTAGTTGCTAAAACAAAAAGACAAGCCTAATTGATCAGAAGCAAATAAATTCTTGCATGAAATAATCTTAAATTCATGGTAAAAGTGCTTTCTATATTCCCATGCTTAATTTCTTGCAATCCAAATAATACCCATAAAATATATTATTATCATAATCATCTTTAATGTAGGCTATACGTAATTAAAATTAAGAAAAAAATCAATGTAGATTACACATGAATAAAATATTCAAATATGCAACCATTTGAATAGAAAGAAGTAAATAATCTTATCCAAATCATATCTATTTTTTATTTATTTTTTGGTCAATCCGGCAAGACTAAGGCAAAACCGTGGGGTGTTTGAGTCCACAGGGCTCTCTCTCTCTTTGAAAAAGTCAAAGTCATCTCTTTTGGTAACGATTCTTTGACTTTCTCTTTTATTGATTCAGAGAAACTCAACTATATAAATAACCCATTATTTCCTCTTACAATATTTCATTAACAAAATTTATCTTCAACTTGCTCTTTTTGTTACTTGTTTTGGAGCAAATTTTTTGAAGAAGAAACAAGGAATTGAAGAAGAAACAGCTTTTTTGTTTTTGTTGTTGTTGAATATATAGAATTTGAAGTAGTTGCAGTTGCAAAAGCTTGCAAACTATATATCAATGGCTGATGCAACTAAAGCACGTTCATTGGAGGAGACACCAACATGGGCAGTTGCTGTGGTGTGTTTGTTGTTGGTTGTTATTTCAATCTTCATAGAACATGCCATTCACATTCTAGGGAAGGTTAGTTTTTTATCAATGTTTTAATATGTAGTTTTATTATTATAAGTTTTGGTTTTTCATGTTTTCAGACACTAGTTAGTTGCTTGATTTGGTTCAGACATTCTTGACATCAGTGCCTCGACTTTGTTCTCTGGTCGGAAACTAAAACAAAAATGATACACTTTCTTGTTAGTTCAAGGCTGGCTCCAGAGTTTTCTTTATAAAAACCTGTTTTTAAAAAGGAGGTCCCCAAGTTCTCAAAACAGGAAAACAAAACCTGGCTGGCCAAACCTATTAGAATTTAATGGTTTTCAATTTTTCATAGTTTCATTTTTTTTTTTTTTATAATAACATGACATTCTTTCACCCTTTACACAGTGGTTCAAGAGAAGGCACAAGACAGCTCTCTATGAAGCACTTGAGAAGGTTAAAGCAGGTAAATTATTATTATTATTATTATTTTTTCTATATTTGAAGTTATCAGGAATCGAACCAGATCACCGAAACTACAATAAAAAAACTAACAAATAGTTTCTTTTGTCATGTAGAGCTTATGCTCATGGGATTTATATCCTTTCTCCTGACAGTTCTTCAAGGTCCCATATCTGATATTTGTATACCAACAAGCCTAGCAGACACGTGGCATCCCTGTGATAAGAAAACCGAGGATAAAATATATCGTGAAAGTTCTGGTAGAAAACTTCTTGAATTCTCAGATGACAGCATTACTATTCCTCGACGCAGTCTTGCATCAAAATATGACAAATGTCAAGAAAAGGCAAGATTACTTCTGTTCTATGGATAGTTGACAGTTGGTAATTGTAGTAGAACAAATTGAGACAAAGTTGTTTATATGGGAAAACTGTTTCCTTATATTGATTCATTTTTTGTAGTTGAATCTAATTGACTGAGAACTGAATTTTCATTTCAGGGTAAAGTTGCATTTGTATCGTCTTACGGTATCCACCAGCTCCATATATTCATCTTTGTGTTAGCAGTTTCTCATATTCTCTACTGTATCATAACCTATGCTTTGGGAAGAACCAAGGTAAAAACAAGTGAAATTTTTAGTTCTATGGGCCTTTTCCAGTCTTTCTTCTGCATGTTTTTCCCTTTTTTTAACGATACTGCTTGGACTGCAGATGAGGAAATGGAAGGCCTGGGAAAATGAGACAAAGACAATTGAATATCAGTACTACAATGGTATATTTTCAACTTGATTATCATAAGAGGGTATAATTAGATTCCTGTTACTGGTTAATTTTCATAGATGATAAAAGTTGACTTTTCTAATGCAGATCCTGAGAGGTTCAGGTTTACAAGGGACACTTCTTTTGGACGCAGACATTTGAACGTCTGGAGCCGCTCAACCTTATCCCTTTGGATTGTAAGTACCATCAGATGAAAATTACTATTCACATAAAAACTAACCCTACGTGAAAACTTTTCACTGTCACTCTTAAATCGTCATCATTAGTCTAGTATAAAAGTCCATCAATCCTTGAATTTACACCATCAGATATTTACTTTAGGTAGATTTTTATTGTTCTGATTCAGATTTAATTCTCTATTCACTCTCAGGTGTGTTTCTTTAGACAATTCTTTGGATCAGTTACAAAGGTTGATTACCTGACGCTAAGGCATGGATTTATCATGGTAATTTCTGTGCTATTACAGAGAGAAGGATTTCTCAGTTTCCTGTTTCTAATTGAAACTACATTGCTATGTTTTCAGGCACATTTGGCTCCTGGAAATGAAACCAGATTCGATTTTCAGAAGTACATCAAGAGATCATTAGAAGAAGATTTTAAAGTTGTAGTTGGGATCAGGTTGGTGCTCTCAAGCATGTAAATCGACAGTTCTTTAGATTTATTAGTTACATTACAATACTAACTTAATGCTGCATTTGCAGTCCAATCATATGGTTCATTGCTGTCTTGTTCCTGCTTGCCTATACACATGGTAAGGATTTCATCATGGTAGTCATTCTTTAAAAGAAATTCCCACATGGCATAAAGAATTGTGAAGAAAATAGAAAATCATGTAACAATGGAATTCGCCAACCTGACAAACCTACTCGTTTTTTTGGTCAGACACAACAAAACCAGTTCTGAAAAGAGTTTTCCTTTCCATGTTTAACTTGGTTGGGAGACTAGACTTGCAAAGCTTCCACATTCGTTATCTATCTGTTACTTTTGCTGCAATAAGAATCTGTCAACACTAAAATATGAACATAGTTGTGGATTTTTGGTGCTCATTGATAACTAATAATTCTTCTCTTTATGGACAGGATGGTACTCTTATTTGTGGCTACCCTTTATCCCCTTAATTGTAAGTACAATACCAAGTTTGATATTTATATTTACATACTTTTTGTATTGAGGTTGTGAGGAAGAAATAGAATCTCATACCCTCAATTGGCACTTTGCAGATAATTCTAATGGTTGGAACAAAGTTGCAAGTGATCATAACCAAAATGGGGCTGAGGATTCAAGATAGAGGTGATGTAGTCAAGGGTGCACCTCTGGTTCAACCAGGTGATAACCTCTTCTGGTTTGGACGCCCACGCTTCCTTCTTTTTCTCATTCACCTAGTTCTCTTTACGGTAATTTTCCTTCATCTCTGTCTATTCATGGATTCCTTTAATCCACCAACATTTAGTCATCATCATCACTGTGTTAATGCTTATCTATTGATTTTTGATTTCCTCTGCAGAATGCATTTCAACTGGCCTTTTTTGCATGGAGCACGGTAAGCAATCCTACTAGTTCAGTCCTTCCTGCTTTTGCTTCCTATGCAACTGTTTGATTGGCTCATCTATTAAGTACTTTTTCATCTTTTTCAGTATGAATTCTCCATTAGGTCTTGCTACCATAAGAGCCTCCAAGATATCATCATCAGAGTCTCAATGGGGTGAGTTCGAAACGTTCCAAGTATTGGCAGGAACCTTTTTTAGGGCTAAGATTACAAAATAAAGATTATTGATTTGAGAAAGTGAAAAAGATTGCTGATAAAATGCAAAATTTTCAACTTTCAGGGTCATTATACAGGTTCTTTGCAGTTATTTGACTCTTCCACTCTATGCTTTGGTGACTCAGGTAAGAAAGAAAATAGGCCTTTCAAAAACTTCTGCCATTCTTTTATTCTGATCTGCAGATCTTGTGCTGATTTGTCGGCGATGATGATCTGGTCTGTTGACCAGGCTGTCTGACTGGATTAGTTGTTAATGTAGTCTGCTGGCACAGATTTTTAATACCCTTTACACCGTATACCGCGTTAACTGAATGGAGATAGCTTGGAAAAGATTAAAACATGATGCAAAAGCAATGTTTAAGCTAAAAAAGAAATGTCAAGCTCAATATTGAGTTTATAACAATGAAAATTATATTGAATTTGTCTGTTTTGTTTGTTTACAGATGGGAAGTAACATGAGACCGACAATCTTTAACGATAGAGTAGCAGCCGCACTGAAAAACTGGCACCATACAGCAAAGAAACACACTAAACAAAGCAGGATGCATTCTGAGAATACAACACCTTTTTCAAGCAGGCCAGCAACTCCAGCACATGGGATGTCTCCAGTTCGTCTTCTGGATAACTATACTCGAAGTGTTGAAAGTTACCATGCATCTCCATGGCATTCTAACTTTGAGAATGATCAAAGGGATCCTGACTCCTCCCATTCTCCACGCCACCATGAAACAAATGATCGTGTTCATGATAGATCGCAGCTAGAAATGGGGGAAGTAAACAGGACAGTTGAAGAATCTAGCTCTTATTCACAAGTGGTTCCAGCACCTCGGACAATTCGAACACAACATGAAATCGACATTAATCCATCAGATTTCTAGTTTGCGAAAAAATGATCAAACTGATTGATCAGATCCTTTTGCCCTGTACATTCTTTTAGACATTGAAGTCGGCCAGCAGGGAAACCAAAGGCAAAGGAGATTGGAAACAAGGCAAAAAGAGAGCAGAGAAATTTGACTCATTTTTTTCTTTGTTGACATATACTAATTCTTTTTTTTTTTTTTTAATTTTTTAATTCTGTGTAGCATCAATTGTACTTGCTTTTCTCATTTACAGTTTTGAATGTTCTGAATACAACTTCATCCTGATTTTTATTTTCTTTAATGGAACTAGTCAAGATACTTCATGAAATTTATACAACAATATGTAACAATGAACCATAGTCTAGTAGAGGTGTGTCTTTGTTTTTTTTTTTTTGGAATGTTGAATGTTGATCACAATAACGATGAACCATCTTCAAATAAAGAAACCAAAGGAGTGAAAACTGTATAATAAATTGGCACATAAGCCTGTCTAACCTGGTAGTGAGTGTAACAGTGTAAAGAGAAAAAATTGAGAACTTTTACAAAGAAAAAGGTCCCCAATGCGGAACACTTGGTGCAATGAAAATGGTACAAAATTAAATTATAAAAGCAAAACTCAATTAAGAGCAAAAAAAAAAAAGAAACTGAGAATGAATTTTGGCTCTATTTTAATGAAAGGTAACAATATAATGCAGGATTTCTTCCCATTTCTACACTATATATGTGGTGCAAGAGCACAGATGGATCACCGTGAAGAAAAGACAACAAAAAAATAATTAAAAGGAAAAATGAAAAGCAATTTGTGCACTATTAGAATCATAATCCATAGAAGAATATATAACAAAACTGTCAACCAGCGTCCACAAAAAGATACTTCTCCAGATATTGCATAACCTCTGTAGTTGAAGATGATGCCGAAGTTTCTGAGCAATCAAACATTATCAGCGCCATCTATCTGTGACTCTTCTGAATTCTTTCCAGCAGCCAATCTCTCAGCTGCCAATCTCTCCTCCAGTGTCATTTTAATTGTCCTTTCCTAAGGGGTCAAGTTTGGTCATAAAGGTGTTTGGGTCATTTTCAAAACCCTGAAGGTGCTCTCATACTGGGGGGAGTTTAGTCTTCAGACTTGTTACAACCGTAGGGCAAGTTTGAATTGTAACCTGGAATTGGCTTCCCCTCATATTTTCTATTCCTAAATTAACCTACTTCAGATATTACAAGGCCAAATTTATTCTACGTGTTTCTTTGAAATTATGTCACTTGAAGATTTGAAGTAAAGCCTCGTGCCATTCCAACATTCTTTTAGATTTAAGATCTTGGTAAGAAACATTATCTTTTTGCTAATAACTTTCAACTTTTGCATTGACAATTTTCCAAATTCTATGATGAACCTACTTACGGAAACCATGTTGTTCAAACATCTTCCGAATTGTTCGTCTCATTTCTTCCAACAAGGTTTAACCATTTTTCAACCTATTGAGAGAGAGTAAAAGTTCATGATAAAAGTTTCTTTTTAAATATATGATGTCTCTATTGTATAACTCATTAGATAATCCATCACAATAGAGATAAAGAACTTTTGACAATAAACAGAAAAGGTACCTTCTTCTTGATGCCTCTATGGGGTGAGAACCAGGTAATGGTGCACCTCCCAAGGTATAACCTTGAGCATCTGTGGAAGCTTCAGACTTTCCACAAAGCATCCGGTGAAATATTGATGCAATGGGATCAATGATCAGTCTGTACCAAATCACAGGGAAACAATTGAGAGAGAAAGAGCTTAAAATGAAATTGTCGTTTCATTTCATGAGCTAAAAGGAAAGCCAAAGAATACCTGAGAAATTCAGGGAAGAATGTAGAGAATGCAAAATCTTCACTTGGATCACCCCTATGCTTTGCTTCTGGTTTTCTCTGCAGGTATCTGAGGTAAATCCAGCCCATATATGTTCCAAAAATCAAAGTTGGAAGATATGTTGCTGGCTCTAGAGTGAAGAAACTTATGGCAATGGAAAGCAACAGCATAAGTGATGGCAGCCACTGCATCGCATAGGAAGCATCAAGAAAGAGTGTGAAGGGTGAATTCCTGGCTAGAAAATATTTTATGTCAAAATTAAATGGTGCCTGCAATATAAATTTTTACCTTTGCTTTTATTTTCAGCAAAGGCAGCTCTTGCTCAGGTACAATTTGCTTGATGCCAACCAAGAAGCCAGCCAGCACCCCATGGAAGCAAGAAAGAGGCATATAACTAGCACAAAGACCAAAAGAGAATCAACATACCAAGGTTTGAGAGGAATAAAAGTTGTAAATGTTATGGGCAAAAAAGTTACGTTAAATTTTGCACAATATACTCTCATCAACTTCGAGATAAATACACCATTTTCCTACCAATCAGTCAGAGAATAAGAGGGGAAAAGAGTGCTTCCATTTTATAAATTTATTCTCTTTTAGTTCTCAAACATTTGATTAAGAAGAATGGTGGAAAAAATAACAAGAAGAAGAGGAAAGGGCATAAGGAGAATAAGTAACCAAAAATAAAAGTTCCTTAAACACTTTGGGAGATCGTAGTACTCAGGTAATTTTCCAGCCTTGTTATGTAGTACAAGGCAATAGCAGTAATGAAAATGCAGACAGAAGTTAGAAAGTTAATTACAAAGATGAACTTCAAAAACTCCTTAGAACCCCATATAGGCTCAAGCAATTTCCCCATGAAAAGAAGACCAAGAGTGCTGACAAGCACCTGCCAAAATCTGTAACCATTAGTACAACTATATGTAAAAAAGAAAAGAAAAGTAAAATTAGGAAAAATAAAGAGTAGAATAAAACATGCTCATACCCCATGTACTGATTGTTCAATGTAACCAGCAGTTATGAGGTTCCAACCAAAAGGAATCGTCCTGCAAAATAAGTTTCAGGTGGGACAAAAGAAATTTAAGTCCTTGAAATAAAACTAGCAATCCAAAGCATTAGTCTCTTGCACACCTCAAGGAAAAAGAATATTTCAATGTATCAGAATCCAATACCAACCACAGATAAAGACATAAGGTTACAGGTGTGTGCTTTATCATGAGCGCTAAAGAACCATACCATAATAGGCAACTTGCATACTATTTGTACATGATCCAGCAGGTAAATTATAATAACATGCTGTTTCTTGTTTCAATATTTATTAACATCAAAGGAAACGGAGAACAACCAGATGCCTAATCTCAAAATGAAAAACCCATTCTTTAGAGAAGATCTAATATTGATTTTCCCATTCATCCAAAACCATTGCTAGAGCTTTATTCCCCGAATCGATAACAGGTTTGGCACTGGTTTATAAACTGAGATCTATCTTCCGGCCTCAAAATCTAGATCTAGAATCTAAATAACAAATGCTGAAAATTACTCCCTTTGGCCAAGTGTAAAACATAAAGATTCAACCAATCAAACAGTTAGCAGCCATGTTCAGAAAGATGCTTAAATGATGATTTCTGAAAGTTTGTTTCAAGCACTATAATCCAGATCCAGGCATCTGAATATCAAAATCGTACATCATTCTTTTCACCCATGCATAAAAGCAATAAGCTTGCTACTTAACTAGAAACAGTTCACATAAAAAAGAGCAAGCAAGTTCAAACAAATATAACATAATTATACAATGATGGCTAACAGTTTTATTTCGAGTTCCTAAATCCAGATCTAAGCATTCAAATGAACAAAGTAGTAAGTTACTCCATTTGAACATATGCAAAAAGCATAGGCATTTCACTTAACTAGAAAAAACCCATCAAAAGATAACTAGTCAAGTTCGAGAAAAGGCTAAAACTATTCTAAAAGCCAGATCTAAACATCCAAATAACAAAATCTTAAGTCAGTTTATTGATCACGACAAAAAATCAACTGTTTAATTGAAATTAGAATCAACCCATCAGTAAATAAACACCCGATTCCCAAGAAAGAAACAAAGAAAAAAGGTCAAATGCTATGATTCCTTAGAAATTGTTCAATTAGCAATGAAATTTGACTGAAATCCTACATGGGTATTTCACCAAAAGAGCAACCGAAACCAAAATCAAATCACGACCCAAACTTTCGAACATGAAATTGACTAAAATTAACATAAAATTGATGAAAAAATTGAAATGGGAAAAAGAACCTGGTGGGAATAAGAGCAAGGTAAGTAACAGAAGAAGGAAGAAGCTGAACCACAATGTGGCCACCAATTAGTATCACTGCTAGTCCCTTACACAGCTTTGTAAATCCACTGAATACTCCACTTCCCTATAAATTCAAATGCAACAAAATTAAAAAAAAAAAAAAAAGAATAAGAATTTGCATATATTCCTTTCTTGTTTTTTAAAATGGATACTTGGGTAAGATTATTGATTACATTACCGGAGAGCTCATGGTGGAGACAATGAATTTTTACAGTTGACTTTTCCGATGAACGACGGAATAATCTGTAAAAGAACGAGGTTTTTTTTTTTTTTTAAAATTTTTTCTGGGTTTTTAATGTTCTTGGATCGGAGTGATGAAGGGTGTTGGAAATTGGAATAGCGGAGAAGATGTATGCATGTATGTATGACTACATTTAATCTTTTCTTAATTCAAGATTTAAAGAAGTGTAAAAAACAAAATTTTCCGCTGCCGGGATTTGAACCCGGTTTCCATAATCATTGGGAAATGCCAAGTGCTACAGCGGATCTTTTCTGATGCAATGCGGCAAACCATTTCATATAACGTAATAAATATTACCCAACTACAAAATATTTTTCAGCAACCTTTGAAGGTCACTTTGCTTTAAGCTTAATTAAAAATTTTGTATCAACAAGATGTAAGCTCTCACACGAGCCAAGTGTCATGGTCTTAGAAAGGAACCATAAATTTTACATCAGCTGTGTATTAAAATTGATCTTGAGATATAATGATTTACACCGCTTTTAATTTGTGAGGTATTTTTTATAAGATAAAATCGTGAGATCAAAGGAATCAAAGTGGACAATATTTCATAAGTTAGTGTGGACTATGACATTTGGTATCAGAGTCAATTCTGAAGGTACTAGTAATGTGTCATCGAAGACGGTGGATCTTCGTTGGAGTGGGAGAAGATGTTATAATCATAGAAAAGAGCCATGAATCCTACATCGACTATGTACTAGAGTTGATATTGAGATATAATGGTTCACACCACTTTCAACTTGTGAGACACCTTTTGTGAAATAAAATTGTGAGACCAGAGGAGTCAAAATAGATAATACCTCACAAGTTATGTGAACCGTGATACTAAGTGTGAGTTTGGTCACTATTGTTTGTCGACTTTTTATTTTTTAGTTTTATAAATGAGGTTGTAATTTGAGATAGGAGAAGAAGTTGTAGATGTTAAAATTTAAATATTAAATTTATTTAATATTATCTTTTAAGAGTGATTATATGAATCGATTAAATTAAATTTTAAATTTATAGTTTGTTGACCTTTGATTTGTGTGTGCTATGAGTAGGCTTGCTCAAAATATCAATAATTTAGTTGAATATAGTATAAAATCTTATCTTATATCAAATGTGATTGTAAATTTTAATTAATGAAAGCTAATATAAAAGTTTATTGTAAATTTTGATCAATGAAAGCTAATATAAAAGTTCAAGTCAGTTAATAATGTGCATAGTTGGAGTTAGGTTCTATTAATATTTCTAAAACTTTTTTTCAAAGTTTAGCTCCACTTGATCTATTTATCAAAACTTGTTTCGATTTGTTATTATTAAAAATAAATATTTTTACTATTTTTTATTTTTGTTTTTACTTTATTTTAATTTAGGTTTTTTTGTTTTTATTTATTTTAATCAATAATATCAAATTGGTCTCATATGAAAAATTAAAAATATAAAAAGTATTTATTAAATATAAAATAGGAAAAAATAAAAAGAACTAAATTAAAATAAAAACAAAATATATAAATACATGAAATAAATTTTGTAAGGAAATCTCATTATTGTTAATATTGCATGATAACTTGACTTTCTTCCCTTTTATCTATTTTTTTATTTTTTATTTTTTCATATTTCTTTCTTAATTTTTTGTTTTTTTAAGTATATCGATTTTTTGAAAAAAAAGATCGACATATGTGTACACAGGTGTCCTATTTCATTTTTTTTACCTTTTGTTTTTTTAATTAGATAACTTATGCAACGAAAGAAACTGATAAATAATTTTTTAAAGAAAAATGCAAATAAAGGTATGGATAACAAAATAATTCGTATTTGATGGGTTTTGATTCGTTTGAACTCAATAGGTGTATTTTTTTAAATTTAGGATTGGATTAAGTTTTTTTTTTTTGGATAATTAAGATCAAGTCGGAGGTAGATTTAGGATGTTTCATCTTGCTCGAAATATATATATCAAATTATATTTTTAATTATTTATTTAATTTTATATTTATTTATATGTATATATTAATAAATTTATTATTTAATATCTTAGTTTAATAAAAATATTATATTTATAGATAATTAAGATGCAATCCATCCATTCATTATATAAAATTTACTTATTTTTATTTTTGTTTGACTTTTATTCAAGGTATTGACATTAGGGGTGAGAAAAAAATCAAGAAAATCAAAGATTAATTCAAAAGCATAATATTCAGTTTGGTTTAAATCATTTTTTTTCTTATTTGATTCAGATTAAATTTGGATATAAAATGCATATATTAAATTTGTATCAAAAAATAAAAAAAAAAGGAACTAAATCAAATTGTATATTAAAATAATATATAAACACAAAAAAATTATTTTAAAAATAATGAACTGAACTAAACTAGTAAAATTCGGTTTGGATTGAATTGGATCATATGAAAATTCGATTCATGTTCTGATCCAATTATAAAAATTTATAATTTTATGTATTATTTAAAAAAATCGAATTGAATCATATCCAATTTAATTTATAACAGAACGAGGTTTTTTTTTATTTTTTTTAGATTTTTTTAATATATATTTTTGAGTTTTTAATGTTTTGGATCGGAGTGATGAAGGGAGTTGATAATTGGAATATGGAGAACGAGATATACATACATATATATATATATATATGTACATGTAGAATACGGCTACATTTAATTAATCTTATCTTAATTTAAGATTTAAAAAATTAAACCTTTATTGGATGGGCAAAAAAATAAAGTGTAAAAAACGAAAATTTCCGCTGCCGGGATTTGAACCCGGTTTCCCTGATCACACGGAAATGCCAAGTGCTACAGCGGATCTTTTGTGTTACAATGAGGCAAACAATTTTACATAACGTAATAAACCAAATAGTCAAGTTTATTTTTCCAGGTTAAACTTTTGAATGTCACTTTGTTTTAGGCTTAATAAAAAATTTTGTCCCAACAAGATGTAAGCTTTTACATAATCTAAGCGTGAGTTTGGTCACTATTGTTTGTTGACTTTTTATTTTTTATAAATTAGGTTGTAACTTGAGATAAGGAGAAAAAGTTACAAATATTGAAATTTAAATTTTAAATTTATTGAATATCACCTTTCAAAAGTAATTACATGAATAAACTAAATTAAATTTTAAATTTATAGTTTATTGACCTTTGATTAGGGATGAAATTTATATTCAGTGGGAGCAGAAATACATATAATACTTAATACATATAAGTTAACTAAGATGTATAAAAAAATTATTTTAATATACATAAAAATAACATATTACAATTGTTCTTTATGACTTTTCATATTTTGAAAGCATTATGAAAATTTTTCATTATCAATATTACAAAATATATATTTCTCTATATATATAACTAAACAATCATTCATTTAAGAATCTCTCATTCGATTGTACAAATGGTTCTTCATAATCTTCATAATAGAAAAGCTCTTTCAATTGATGTAGTAAAAATGGGTAATATCACAGCTAATTCCACAAGTATATCAATGGATGCACAAAATATTTATGTCTCAATAAGTTTCATGGAAAGGTCACTAATACGTTTCAAACTTGTAAACTCATAATGAGATCTTAAATCAACAATGTAAGTTTCAAGTTGATTGTTAAAAACTAGTAGCTTAACCTTAGAAAATTTAGTTGGATAAAATTGAGTAAGACAAATCAATTTTCCTTTATCAAAAGCTACAAAACAATCACAAAGATTTAAAGAAGGCACACAAAGAAATAACTTCATATTCACTTTATTAAAAAGATTGTTGAGCTCTTAAAGTTGTATATCAATTACTATATAAAACAACGCAACCTGATAATAATGTAAAATTGTCATTGTTAGAGATTGTGTTAAGGTTTCTATGAGTTACAAACATATCATCTATATTTAGGATGCCAATATTGTTTTTCTCACAAAATAAAGAAACCTCTTTATGCAAAGATTCTTATCCATCATCTCTCATCGTTTGTAGTCATTGCTTCACTACTTTTACTAATGCCATGGCATTCACAATATTTTGATCTCGCCTTTATAATGCCAAAGACAATTCATTTGTAATCTCCAAGATATTTTTCATCAAACGTAAGTTAAAAGCAAAATCAAAAGATTGAGTCAAATTTAATAAGACAGAAGCTTCACCTCTTTGCTCCAAGCTATTCCTATCATCTATAACAATTTCAAGCACATCAATGATGGAATTAAACATAAAGATCAAATTTATCAAAATCTTATAATGTGAACCTCATTGTGTATTTTCAGCTCATTGAAGACTTATTTCTTGGTTTAAACCCCTTATCATAAAAAGTTCACCGACTCGTAATACCTCAACAACTTTATTAAATTATTTTTCTCTAAGAACATCTTTTCATTTACATAAAGCCCCGTCAATATTCACCACATTTGTCACAATGTTGAAAAGTAATGCAATTTGAACATGATTCTTTGTCACTGCTACAAGTGTCCATTGAAGTTGATGAGCAAAACAATACCATAATAAGCAGATGCATTATTTTTCATGATCAAAGTTTTCAATCCATTGAATTCACCTTGCATGTTGCTTGCTTTATCATAACCTTGCCCACAAATTCTTAACATACTCAAATTATACTTAGAGAATAATGCTTCAATAACTGTTTTAAGTGACAAAACGATTATATCACTGACATGTATTAGACCCAAAAAATGTTCAACAACATGCCTTTTAGAATCCACATAGCACAAAGCAATAGCAACTTGTTCTTTGATTGAAACATCATGAGATTCATTAAGTAAAATGGAAAACAATCCATCTCCAAAATCTTCTATGGTAATATTGGTAGTTTCAACTTTTGCAATGGGGATAAGATTTTTTTGAATATCATTTTGAATTTCCTAATGCATTCTCCCAAATAACATTATTGATGGTTTCATTATGATTGGCAAGAAATTTAAGAAGCTCAAGAATATTTTCTTAATTATAAGAATTCTCAGTTTCATCTCTACCACGAAATGCCAAACCTTGGCATAAAAGAAAATGAATGCAATCAAGTGTTGTAGTTAAGCGAACTCGATAATCTTTTTATGCTTGATCGGGTATTTTTGCAAAAGCAAATTGAATATGTTGATTTTGATAGCAAGTCTTGACAACATTTTCAAGCTTTGTTATGAGCATTATTAAGACTTTCAATATGAATATCAAAATTTTCTTTCTTTTGCCAATTTGTAA